GGACGAGGCCCATGTGTGGAGCTTCCCCAGCAGCTACAGAGGCAATATGGAGGGGGTCTCGGGACTTTTGGGGGGCCCACCGGCTATTCTGATTTTTTTTTTTAAGTCTTGTGATATGGGTGGAAGTTTACAGAGCAAATGGGTTTTCCATTGGGCAATTCACTCATCCATCGTTTGTAGCCCCCCGTGGGACAGTGCTCACCCCATTCCTCCCTGTGACCCCCATTCCTCTTCATCCTGCTTCCTGACGTTGGTCCAGGGACCCGCTGCTCTTTGTTCCGAGGGGCCCCGCACCGCACAGGCACTTTTGTTCACCTCAGAAACCTGCCTGTTGTCTGACTGGAAGCCAAACCCGGCAGGTGAGTGCCGGTGTCTGAGGACCAGTCTCAGGGTCACTCCACTGATTTCTCTTAACATCAGGGGGGGAAATGAATGAAATCTCAGGCAAGTAGGTATATGTATATTTCATACCATTAGGAAGTCATCGACGTACTATCAATCATATTGATATAACCCATCACTCGTGTGGAGGAGCTCAGGTGGCACAGTGGTTCTGCGCTGGGCGTTAACCAGGAGGTCAGTGGTTGGAAACCACCAGCTCTGTAGGAGAAAGACGGATTCTACTTCTATAAAGTTCATCTCAGGAACTGGCAGGGGAAATTCTACAGACTCGATGGCAGCGAGGGATTCCCCCCCCCCACTATTAGTATATTTTATATTAATAATTAAGACATAGTTATCAGTTGATATTAAAGGAGCCTGGCGGTGTGGTGGTTACCCACTGGGCTGCTGAACACAGCAGTTTGAAACCACCCGCTGCTCCAAAGGAGAAAGACGGGCTCTCTACTCCCCTTAAGAGTTACAGTCTCAGAAACCCACAGAGGCAGTTCTAACCTGTCTGCAGGGTCGTTCATTGTGAATCAGAGTAAACTTGATGACAGTGAGTTTGGTTTTGATGGCTCAGTGGTTAAGCACTTGACCGCCAACACCGTCGCTCAAAAGCAGTTCTTCTTCCGTCTTGTTTCCCGTCTGGCTTTCACATGCCCCCGGCCACTGAAAGCTCCGGGCCTGAGTCAGGCAAGGTGACACCTTTGCTCTTTGAAGCAGATTTGCCCAGTGCAATACATCATGTGATTTCCTGACAGTGGCTTCCATGGCTGCTGATTGTGAATCCAAGTAAAATAAAGTCGGACAATTTCACTATTTCTCCCACGTATCCTGATGTTGCTTATTGGTCCCTGTGATGGTTAGGGATTCTGCCAACTAGACACCCCTGGGTAAGGGTAGGGATGCGGCGAGGCCTGACCTACCAATTGGGTAGCAGCCCGGTGACATCTCCCTGGCATCACGGCACAAGCCTTTTTGTTTGAGAGAGAGACTGTGCACTCGTTTTCTTTCTGCCCCCTTGCCTTCCTGCAACTCTGCCGGCCTCCATGGCAGTCTCATGCGGGCTGCCCGACCCTGAGAGCTGTCAGCCCCCTGCCATGTTTCCACTGACTGGATGCACACGCCTCTGCCGGCACCTGCCTGGGACCTTCCTGCTTCCTGTGCTTGCAGCTACTTGAGTCTGGAGGGGTCCTGGTTTACATCAGATTTGTGGACTTGAATTGCACTGGGCTGGTTTGCCTTTTTGTTAAAAATCATTTTCTTGGGGACTCATACAACTCTTATTACAATAAGAATGTTTCTTGATCTAAAGCACTTTCCTGTACGCATGTTGATTCGCTTCTCCAGACGGCCCAGAGAGACCTGGTCTGGCTGGGAGGTTTTCTTTACGTCGGAGGCAATCCCTACAGAAGGCTGCTGCCTTTGGCCCGCAGTAGTGCTTCAGCCCTTCCCACTTTGAACCACCAGGTTTTGTCTGTCATCTGTGTATTGCACCCCATCAACAAATCTTCCTCTAATCCTGACGCCACTCCCTTCTTCAGGTAGTCTGATTCCACGCGCTATCTGCTCGGCATAGATGAGTAAGCATGCTGTGAGGATGAAACCCCAATGCACCCCATCCTCATTTTAAACCACCCCGGTTCTGCTGGAACAGCTGTCACCGGCTCTATATCCAGGCTCTGCCTGGACGCAGTACAGTGCTCTGCAGCTCCCATCCTTTGCCGGGGATCAACACTCAACAGAGCAAGCATTTGTGTTGAGCAATTTGGAGAGAGGGAGAGGCGTTTGCAGACATATGGGTGTTGGTGGTTTTGTTTCTATAACCTGTTGGTCCAACCCACTGAGCTGCTGTTCCTCCCAGATGCCGTCGGAGCAAGGGGGGGGGGGGCAGAGGCTCACGGGGTCAGAGTGGGAACTGACCCCACAGCGGCACCTAGCCTAATAGCAGTATTTGTGTTCTCCGATTTGTGTCTTTGATGATCCACACGGGTTGAATGCCTTTGTGGAGCTACTCAGAGGCAAACATCTTCCTGGTGTTCTCTGCTTCCGACCAAGGCGCATCTGACGTCAGCAACGGTGTCCCTGGGGCCACGTCCCCGTCTGAATCTGGCGTGAGCTCCCGGCAGCTGTCAGGGGACGAATTGTCGACCATGGTCGGAGGATCTTGGGCAGAGCTTTCCTTGCGCCTCTGGGCACTTGTTCATTTCCTCAGTCGGTGGATCGCTTTTCTTTCAACAGACTTGGTTTCCTTGACCTGCACCTGCCACCAGTCCGTCCTCTACAGAGGCAGCAGTCCGTTGGGGGTGCGGGGGTGTGGCCACCTCGGGGGCTGAGCCACCTCAGCCATAGGCACTCCTTGCGGATGCCTGGGTCCTGGGATCTTTTTGGCCCCAGGGTCTTTTGTGTGTCTCCCTCTTGGGGGACCCACTTCCCCTTTTCACTCGGGCTAGCAAGAAGGCCAATGTCCCATCTACTGCCCACCTCCCTCTGGGCTGGTTGTAATCTCTTGTTCCACTGTGCTTTGTTTTGTTGTCTCTCTCTGATCTATTTTTATCTCATTGTTTTTGGAATCGTTTGGAAGCTGTTGCTGATCCTCCTTGGAACAGGGCAGGGGCAAAAGCACACCGACACAACCAGCAGCATCTTGTCTCTGGCCTTGGCGGATACTGTGACATACCTGTGACATTTAGGAGCTGGACTCCTTGGGGGGGTGCTCACCCCAGGCTGCTCCTGTGCTCTCTGGGGAGGAACGGCGGCTCAGTGGGTGGGACCAACAGGTGATGGGAACAAAACCACCAATAACCATCTGTCTGCAAACACCTCTCCCCCTCCCCAAAATGTTCTTTCCAGCCTCCCATCTGTCCACTGTCAGGAAGCCGCGGGGCCTGCAGGTGGTGGCAGAACAGGACCAGATTCACGTCTCCCAATTCCATCTCCAACTCTCCCTTCCTGTATCCTTGCCCAGGGCCCAGGGGCCCAGGCTAACGGTGCCGAGAGCAGGCATGCCAGGAAGCCCACCTGCCCAGGTATTGTGTAGGGAGCACAGGTGTCAGATTGAGAGAAGCTGGAGGCGAGGCTGAGTGCCACATACCCTTGGATCCTGGGCCCTAAGCCCTAGCACCTCCTGGTCGCCCCTGCCACCACACCCACAAAGCCACCCCCTCGTGTGCCCATCTGCCAGGCCATGGCAGCACCCATACCCCCCGGGGGTGTGCGTTCAGGACCCCTGCTCAGCTGCCCTCGCAGGGAGGGAGGTTTGGCCAGTACTTCCTCCTGCCCCTAGTCTTCCCCGCTGGAAAACAAAGATGGGGGTGGGAGGGTGGTGGCGGTTCAGATCCTAGAATTCTAAGGGTCCCAGTCTCCCCTCCTTTCCCCTGGTGCCTTGCTGACTCAGACTTGGTGACCCTCCGGGGCGGAGGACGCACCCTGGGCTTTCATGGCTGGTACGTTTCTAGAAGCAGCCGGCCACATCGGTCATCCTCAGGGTGAGCGTTGGGTTTGAACCATTGCTCCTTCAGTCAGCATTTAATCACAGTGCCACCATCTCCTCCCTGTAGTACCTGGAACCCCACCCCCATACATCCCAAATGTGTAGAGGTGGCCATCTCCCCCAGGGCTCATTCCCCCACCCTTAGGCTCTACCTGCCCATCTGGCCATCCCTGCCTATCCCTCCGGCCCACACCCACTTGGCCCGGCTGGACCAGGTGCTCCCTCCCACCAGGGGTACCCTAAGCTAGACTGTAGCCCCAGGACCCCGTGGCCCCACTAGGTGGCCACTGTGTCTCCCAGCCCCACCCTGGCCCCGTTGGGATCCCTGCCCAGCTGCGAGTAACTCTCAGGTCCTGCCACCTCATTAGGTCTAATGAGCCTGTCTCAAGGCAGAGCACACTGGGTGATATTTAATTATGCTTTTAATTATCTCTAATTGCTTCCTGGGTGAGAGGCTGGGCCAAGAGCAGGCACCCAGACTTCTCCGTAGATCCCAGCGGGGAGGCAGTTGGCTCCCATGGCGGCGAGCTCAGTCCAGGTGTAGCGCCCGCCCTGCCCAGGCTCCTGTGGCCTGCTTCAAGACCCCCGGTGTGGAGGTGGGTGTGAGGAGGTGAGAGGCCATAACTGGGTCAGCAGGTCCCCACCCAGGGCAGACACCCCCCAGCCTCGTTTCAGAAGGACCAAGGGGTGGAGCGCAATGGCACACAGACCATACCACGAAGAGTGTGGCTCCCCGAGCCTGCCTCCCCATCTGTGAGCTGGAGGTACTGTGTCCACACCCCTGCAGCCGGAGCTCATTCTCCAGGTCTCTGGGGTCAAAGGCAGCTAAGGCACTACCTGACAGCTGACCCTCCTGTGGGGTCAGCATGGAGAGGCTGCAAACACAGGCCCCGCTGTTGTGGCAACACCTTGTCGTATGTGTGCCCTGGCGAGTGGCAGGTGCCCGCTACACAGACGGGAAGATCGAGGCATGGAGCCGTCAGGACTTGGGCAGGAGGACCTGATGAAGTGCATCCAGGGCTCTATGCTTCTGGGAGCTGGGTGGAAGGGGGACCCGGGGAGCAGCAAGACCCCGATTCTGGACTCTCACCCCCACCGAAGACAGACACGGGCACAGCAGAAGTGCTACAGGGCTGTTTAATGCTCCCTCACCAATAGCAGTAACACAGGGGCAGGATACAGTCCAGAATCTAGAGCGGACTACTCTCCTGCTGGGTTTCAAGGGCAGGGAGCGGAGGGGGGCCTGCCACCCCGCCCCCATGTGGGGTTGGGGGATAGGGGTGGCATAAACTACCAGAGACAGGCGCGCTGAACAGGCACGTGGGTCAGAATCAGGTAGTGTGGTCTCCAAAGTCGGCCAGACGGGACACCCCTGGAACCCTGGTTTTCATCAGGTTTGTGCCCCTCCCCTGGCCACAGGGGGATGGGAGGAGTGGGGCGACAGCTTCTCACAGGTCCCCACGGACAGGGCAGGGCGGCCAGGTATCCGATGGGATCCAAGTGGCACTGGGATCCCAGATGAACAACGCGTCGTCTTTTGTTGTAGTTTTGCTACGTTCCACGGCAGGGAACAAGCTTGTGCTGAAGAAAACAGAAACCAACCCACAACCAGCGGCCTGGGTTCGGGTTCTGTTCTAACTCAGAAAATCCTCCTCTCGTCTCAGAACGAGGTAGGGAAGAGAGAACTTAAGGAAGGAGAAATAGTCAGTATGTTTGGGTTTGTTTTGGGGGGCGCAAGCCAACCCCCAAAGAGCTTATGCCTTATGCCGTACACACCCTCCTCGACATGGCGTATTATTCAAAACAAAGGACGCTTTGCAGACCCCCTTGACAACACTGGCCTGTCAGCAGGTAGCGGGTGAGGGGCAGGGACACCCGGGGGTCCACACCACGCGGTTCTAAGTCAAGCCTGAATGCGCTGGTTCCAGGCTCAGCCAGTTTCTCCCTGCTGGCCACACCAGCCTGCTGAAATGTGCTGTGCTATGCTATGCTGCTTTGCCGGAGGGGCCTAATTTAGTAGAAAGGTTTGCTACAAGGCTGTCGCTGCTTTTCTGGTGACAGATCTGTTAATCCCACTCATCTCCTTCTACGGGGACGGGGAAGTCACTGTGAGGAGCCAGGATACCCCCCCCCCCCAACATACACACCCAGCTGTGTTCCTAGTGTTAAATTCCTGCGGCCTCCTCCCTGGAAATTCAGGAAGCCCAGGGGCCATCCTCTGCTTCCCATACTGCTTGCTCTCCGGCCCTGGAAGGGCTACCTTGGTCAGCGGGCATGTTCGGGGCTAGCCACCTGGTCCCGCTAATGCCCAGTGGGCAATGGGAACCAGGAATGAGGAAGTCAGGGTAGGGACAGAGAACCACCCAGTCCACTAGGCCCATGCATGTGGACCAGGCAGCTGCCCGTCTCAGCAGAGGCCACTGGGAGAGAAAGGAGTCCGCCTCTGGGCCCACCTGCTTTGCAGCTGGCGGGCACTCAGGTGGCCACCTGGCAACCAGGTGAGGGCAGGGTGGGGGAAAGACAGGCCCAGGGAGAAAGTCAATTGGAGCCCTAGACCCACAGTTGGGGGGATGAGGGATGACATGGCGGGACAGGAAGTCAGGGGGGGCTGCTGACCCTGCTGGCTCCCCGGCCTGGTTGGGCCCCTTCCCCTTGGGGTCTAGGTATTGGTGGCAGCTGCTGGGCAGGGGGAGGGCAGCTTGGAGTGGGCACAGAGAGGAAATGCCGGGAGTCCAGGTGCCGCCCCCGATTCATACTCGGATCTCGTCATCATCCTCCTCGTCCATGAAGGAAAACTCCTTGTCGGGCGGTCTCAGGGCTCGGGCCCGCTCAGGCCCCCGGAAGGCAGGGCTGCGCTCCTCTAAGCCCCCCGAGGTGCAGCTGGACAGGGAGCTGCTGTCCCGTGTGGTGTGGCTCTCCAAGCTGCGGGCTGAGCCTGGGCTAGGGGCCGCCGCTGCCCACCCCTCGTCCTCCAGAGCCCGGGAGGGCAGCGAGGAAGTGTCCGGCCTGGCCTGGCCTTCCTGCTCAGACGGCAGAGGGGCGGCCACACGGGGCCGAGGTGCTGGGTCTGCCTCCAGGTGGCTGGGGCCCTGGTCGGTGCCGCGGTAGCCTCCCCCACCTTCCTCCTCCTCCTGCTCTTCCTCCTCTGGCTGCCATTCGTCCTTGTCCATGATGCTGAGCACGTCCCCCAGCATGGACGGGCCCAGGTCAATGTGGAAGGACATGATGGACTCGGCGTGCTTCAACCCAAAGCTGGCCTTGGGCACCATGGGCAGGTCTGTCAGGTCCCCGAAGGCCTGCTCATCCAAGAGGGGGTCGGGTGAGTGGGGGCCCCCAGCCCCATTGCTGTGGCGGGACAGCCCCTCCCTGGGGCTCTGAGCCCCGGCACCGTCCTCCCCAGAGGCCCCCTTCTTCACGGGGCTGGACGACAGGCTCTTGGGCAGTTTGGCCGAGCCCTTGTCTGAGGCCGCCTCCTTCTCGTTCAGCTGTGGCAGCGACATGGCGTTTTTGACGAAGAGCGCGGAGTCTCGCAGGGGGCCCAGCACGGCCCGCTGCTCCCGCTCACCCCTGGTCACCGACTGGGACCGCTTGCTGCCGCGGAACTTGCGGGACAGGAGGCTGCGCTTGGAAGACGTGGTGGAGGCCTGCTCGTCCAGAGACTCGCCGTCCGGCTCACCGGCCTTGCTGTGCAGGAAGGAGGTGTCCCCAAAGGCGTCCCCAGCCCGGCCCACGTGCATGGTGTGGCGGAAGTCGCCCAGCGGGGCGCTGATCATCTCGGCTGTGAGGTCCACGCGTGAGCGGCGCTTGGAGTGGACGGAGCTGGACACCAGCTGCTTGAGGATTGGCATGGCGCCGGCGGGCACGGGGAGGCGGGCCCTCCTGAAGTCACCGATTGGGTGGGGGTCAGAGCTGCAGGCCTCTGGGGGCTGGAGGGGTGGACCAGGCGATCATAGAGCTGCAAGCAGAGAAAGGGAGGTGAGAGGTTAATGCAGCTGGACACCCAGCAGAGAAGCCAAGCCGCCTCCAAGACAGCTCGGCCTCCCCGGCACCCGAGTCGAACTCTGCTCCCATAGGGAGCTTGGCGGCCGAGGTCTCAGGAGTAGATGGCCAGGCCTGTCTTCCGAGGTGCCTCTGGGTGAACCTGAACCGCCAACCCTTTGGGCGGAGGTGCATCCTGTTCACCCTTTGCGCCAGACCACCGGCTCCCGCCCAGGGGCCCAGGGGCCCATCGTGAAACCCAGCTCGGTGACCAACGTGAGCAAAGGCAGCCTGCTGTCTGCTTCCTATCGCCACCCATCTTCACCCAGACTCACGTGCTCTGGGGCCTGGGACAGCCCGCTGCAATCTGGCCAGAGTTCAAGTCCCCACACACACCCTGGCTTCCGAAACCTAACACAGACAGTCTCTCTTGCCCCAAGGCACTCAGGGACCGGGAGGACCCTTGGTGACTCCACGCAGCTGTCTAGGAAACAGACCGAGTCTAAGCCTGGACGCCTCTGAACAGCCAGCCTGGAGACACCTCGGTAAGTTCTTCCTGCAGTCTAATCTAAATCCCTGTGAAGTCAATGGACAGCTCAACCTGACTCACAGCCATCAGAGAGGGAGGGAGGGCTGGCGGGGCGGGCGCCAGCCCCAGGGCGACTCGGCCTGGCACTTTCCCCGGGCACGCGTGGGCAGTCCAGCCCTACTTCTGAATCAGAGCTGGGGTGGAACACCTGGGACCCACCAAACCAGCTCTCCGGCCTCCCAGCACTGGCGAGGTGCTCCACACGGAGATCCCTCCTGCGACATCATCTCCAGTGCAGGGGTGCCCAGAGGACCCACCCACCCTACCTGCACCTTGCTGGAGATCAAGGCTGGGAATTTTCCCGGGGGTGGAGAGCGGCAGTTTCTACAGGCCTCCCCCCACCACCACCCCACCCATGACCTGGCCCCTGGAGTCTACAGACCAGGTGATTAAGTCCAAAGAAGCCAGAGGTAACAGCAAGAGCAGCCCCGGCTAGCTGGAGCCAAGGTGCTGCAACACAATCGTGCAAGGGGCCCGCGTGGACGTTCAGCGCCAGGCTTTTCCCCAAGAGGGCAGCTCTAAACGCTCAGCCCGGTGGCTGCGTAGGGCTTCAGGAAGGGCAGGGAGCAGACCAGGAAAACACGCAGAGCATGGTGGGGCAGGCCCCTCACGCTGGGTCCTTGGCCCTGCCAGCCTGCTTGCTCTGCACCCCAGGCCTCCAAGCCCACACCCCCAACATGGAGGTCTTGCTCCAGCAGTGTCCTGGTTGACCGGCTGCGGGTGGAGCTGGGGGGAGACACTATCCTTCGGAAGAAGGGGTGCCCCGTGGCACAGAGGGTTACAAGCTGGGTGATTTGCACCAACAAGCCGCTCCTTGGGGGAACGACGAGGCTGTTTGTGCTAGCAGAGACCCAGCGCCCCGGATCCCTAGGGAGCAAGCGCCGTGCTGTCCTGTGTGCGAGAATCAACTGAGGGCAGTGGGCTTCGTTTCGTTTGGCTGAGTGGCGAGTGTGAGCCCACGACTCTGCTCGGCGGCCCCAGAGAGACCCTATGGCTTACAAAGCGTGTCAACTAAGGAGGACCCCACGGCCAGCATGAGAACCAGTCTACTGGAGACCCATCAGCAGTGTTCACGGGAAGGGCAGCGCTGGAACCTCCCGGTGACGCTGAGGAAGAGGGGAATGCCAGGCGGGCGGTCTGCTTTGGTAAAGATGGCTGTTCCTGCCTGCTGCAGGGCGTTAGCAAGCCCAGCACCCCGACTCACGGGGGCGCTGCAGGTCAGAGCAGAGATAACCCAGGGGGCTTCTTTCAGAGGCCCTCACCCTGCCGGGAGGTCACCAGACTGCAGCCCGGGGGTTTGGGCTGCTGACCTTTCCGTGAGCAGCTGGGCACTTAACCCCTGCCCCACCTGGCCAATGATGGCAGTCTGGAAACTGTCTGGGGCAGCTCTGTTCTGCCACATGGGGACACGGTGGGTGTCACTTAACCACCAACCACAGCCTGAGCGTCCACAGCGGCTTCCCAGCACAGGCTTGGACGTGGTAGCTGGACCCTCCTCCCTCTCCAGCCAGCTATCCTTGCCCTCTGCTCCAGTAGCCGGGCCTTCAGTCCCCCCACGACAGTGGGACGACACTTACTGTTCAATTCTGGCACCCGGGCCACCCAAGTCCTTTTGGCACCCGGGCCACCCCAAGTCCTTCTGGGGTCAGCTGTGGGCATCCGTAGACATACCTGCTAAACCAGGTCTGGACTCTGGGTCCAGTGCCCTTTCTACGCCACTCTGGGCCTTCCTCAAGCCTTTGGTGGATAGCACCAAGGGTCAATGACATCACCACTGGTGGCTGAAGGGCCCAGAGAGAGGGGCCTGCCAGCGGCTGGGAGAAAGGCTCGGTGTAGGCTAGGAGTGGATGCCACAGGTCCTTACGGCCAGATCAGCCTTGGTGGTGGGGGCTGCCCTGTGCCTAGCGGGAGGTGAGCGGCATTGCTGGGGCCCCCCACCCGATGTCCACAGTAACTGCAGCCCACCCCAAACGGAGGGCTGGATACACACACCCTGGTACACTCATATTGGGGAACATCATGCAGCCGCGAGGAGCAGGGACGGCTCTCTCCGGGCCCAAAAGACGTGGACAAAACTGGGGCGCATGATGCTTACTGAACTTAAGTCAATCTTAAGAAGACACGTATCTAAGGACCCCATTATCAGAAGGGAAAACAGTGAGCAAAGAGGCTTCCCCGCTCAGGAGAGGACTCCGAAAACTACGCAGGAGGCAGCCAGGGGCAGGGCGGGGGCAGGGAGAGAGGAATGATGGAAGGAGAGAAGAAAGATGGGAGGTGGGGAAGAGGGTAATGGGATGTTAGTACCGATTTCACTTGACGCGATGGCTATACAACTATACAGAATATGCTTTCCTTTAGAAAAGCTGAAATCAATCAATAAAAGTAAATAAAAAATTAGAGAGAGAAGGCTCACAGCTTTAACCACCACCACCACTCCCCGGGATTTCTTATCGCTCAGCTCTCAACATTGATCTGAGGCTAAACACAGAGGAAAAGCCAAAGTGAAGGAGGGGACCCCCGCGGGATTCCTCAGCGACATACAGGTGTGTTTCAAACAGGAGGGCAGGAAGAGAAAAGCCCCAAAGTCTCCGTTGTGGCCAGGTGCCCGCCCACACGTCTATTCCCGCTCCGGGTGACCCCCCACCCAGAGTAGAAGCGTCCCACGGGCTGCCGTCTGTCTGCCGGTGAAGACCACAGACACACGGCGGCTACGGGACGACTAAAATCCAGTCTCGGACAAGCACAGCCAGACGCGGCCCAGAGGCAGGGATGGCGAGATCCGTCAACTTGTTGTCGGCAGAGACCAGTCCCCGGAGGAAGACCTCAGTCTGGGCAGGGGGCAGCGAGGAAGAGGAAGACCCTGGGCAAGATGGGCGGGGCAGCCGTGGGCTCAGACATAGCAAGGGTGGTGAGGATGGTGCAGGGCCAGGCGGTGTTCCTGCTCCGTCGTGTGCGGTCCCTCTGAGTCAGAATCGCTCAGTGTCACCTCACTCAACAGTCCCTGACGGCAGCCCTCCCTCCCCCGAGGAGGCTGGGGGCTTCCTGGTAACGCTCTGGGCTGCTCACCGCAAGGTCGGCAGTTCAAAACCACCAGCTGCTCCTTGGGAGACAGGACGAGGCTCTCTATGGCAGCACAGGGTTCCAGCTTCAGAAACCCACAGGGTTGGTTCTGCCTTGTCCTGGAGGGTCAGCGCCTGACCCGACGAGAATGAGTTGGGTTTGGGTTGGAGACACGGATGGCCAGTGTCCCGTGGAAAGTAAACTGCCGGCAGAGCCAGTGTCTGAGTGTGAAACTCATGGAAGGAACCTGCAGGCAGGCCACGCGGGAAGCCTCGGGGTTGTGCAAGGTCCCGGTGTCGCTGCAGGAAACCCCAGACTCCGTCAGCAGGGCTGGCGGTGGCTTCCCCACGGAGCGTGCACTGGAGAGGCGCACGGGCGGCCACAGGCCCAGTCTCTGGGTTGACCTGGGGCTAATGGCCAAAGGGACAGGGGGTTCCCCACCATCCCGGTCACCCCTCCTCCTAGCACAGGCCCAAGATGTGGGGACTGAAGTCCCTCATGCATACCCTGGAGCCAGACCCCAGGGAGAACTACCTGCTCTACACCCTGAGCATCAACCTGGGGCTGTCTGGGGAGGTGGGGACTGGGCAGGGGGCCCCCAGGATCCTGAAGAAGAGAGTGGGGCTTTGACGGAGTCAGCCCCGCCTGTTCCCTGCTACCTGGGGGGAAGGGCAGGCTGCTTCGAGGCGAGGGGTCCCAGACCCCCAAGTGGCGGCACCAAAGCAGGCACTTGGCTACTAACCCCAAAGGTGGGAGAGTCGAACCTGCCTGAGGTGTCTTGAAAGAAAGGCCTGGTGGCCAGCTTCCAAGACTGTGAGCTCCCTGGGAGCAGTTTTGCTCGGAGGCCCTGGGGACGCCCCGAGGTCCAGTCAACAGTCACCTCTTTGTTTTCTGAGTGACAGAGAGTGACCCTTAGTTTCCACAGGGAAGGATCTGGGAACGAGAAGAGGGGACATGCAGGCAGGTGGCGAGAGTCCTTGCTTGGCTCACGGGCGTCCACCCAGGAAGGGCAGCGTGTCACAGGACCTGCAGCTTTGGGAGGGGGTGTTGCTAAACACCGTGACTCAGCTCTGGGGAAGCAGCTCAAACCGGCTGTCCAGTGACCTACCGACAGGCAGCCACTCCCCACGCCTGCCCCGGGGCCGGGCACTCCTAGCCCATGGCAGAAGCCACATCCGGCTGCCACTGCAAAGCCAGAGGAAAGCCAGGCTCTGGGGGGCCCCCGAGGGCCCAGATTCCTTCCCCTTACCACCCCCCTCACCCCAGCAACCACAGAACCACCCTGGAAGCCCAAGGATGGAGCCCTCCCGGCAAGGCCAGGCTAGGCT